TAAATGGCGCCACTATTCGCGCCAAAATGCGAAAAGGGATTTGAATCAAGAGATACTTTGCTGCCCGTCGATTCACATAATAAGCTGTTCAGAAAAAAATTTGAACCGATTCTGTTCCCCGTATAAAAAGTCGATTTTGCGCTAATATTGTTGATAAACCATCATTGATTATTGAAATCTATTCACATACATCGAATCAACGCGATAATATAGAAAAATTAGCAGAATACAAAACAACATCGTCGTTACAGTTTTATGTTACTGTTTCAAGTGAATCTCGTTTAATCGATGTACACAAACGTGTGCTCTCCAGCAATAAATGGTCGACAATATCATACACGACAATATCATACACGGCAATGGAAGATGAAATACCAATTTTAGATATCAAATTAAAAATGGCGGATATTTATGCATTTGTCAGTCTTGCTTAAGAGCCATTAGAGATAAGCCACGATCTAATATGCTCAATCGACTATCTCAGGTTCTTCCAAAGTAAGAGGCTTCTTTAGAGCAAACGTTTTTATGAATTTTGGCGAAAATCGGAGGTCCTAAAGTTGTTGCGTTGCTGAGATATTGAATTTTCACGAAAAGCCCCCGAAAACTAATATTTCGCCACCTTGAAAAATTGTCAACTTAAACTACGTGTAACTTCGTAATTACATAAACTTTATGATAAATACTAAATAGTGCCTACTGCAAGTTCAAACAACCGCGAGCTCCGCACATGTTTTCGTTCTTGCAGTAGATAATGCACCGACAGCCCCAATTGTCGATTCTGTCAACTTTGGCAATCAACCCTGTTGAAACGAAACGAAACATCCTCAATCATATTTTCAAATAGACTATGTGCTGCACTGTCTCTGAACTCATTCTGACAATCTCAAGTATTTTCGTTTCCGATATAGGTTGCTCCAAAGTTGCCACTTTAAGCAAAATGCGTCATTTTGGCAAACGGTTTTCTCAAATTCGCTTCTATGAGATTGTTGGAGTACACTAAGTGTACTATCATGAGCCATGATAGAATTTTTGGGGATCTCCTAAAATGACTTAGGGGTCTAGTCGGGGGAGATTTAGAGGACATTTTTTTAGCACATTAGATCGTGGCTTATTTCTAATGGCTCTTAACAACTTTAAAGTTAGTGATTACGCGTTGGTTTTCTTTCTTCTACTAAGAAGTTGTTGATAGATTGTAACACAGATCGTTAATAGTTTTTGCGGCATGTTTAAATTTTACGAAAAGAGCTTCACACAGATGGAATTTCTATTACCAAAATTGTTTTTTTATCGTGCATGCGTGTATTTATGCACATGATACTAATGTCAGATGATTTCTCTTTTTTGTTTTCTTTTGTGTATAATAATTGTCAATAAGATAAATTTTCAATCGTTTGAGCTTCTATCAAAAGAACTTTTTCGTTAGTCGACTGTTGTTGTTTTTTTGCTTTTTTAATGTACGCCGTTATAAGTAGTCATAGTAGCATTTGCCGTCCGGTTTTTCTCTTAAAATTTTTGGATTAAAATGCTGTATAGCATTGAAAATGTAGTGAATAAAAAGAAATCGGTTACGAATTCAAAAGAAGAATGCGGTTAGATCTATAAAAAGTGAGAATTCTAATATAACTTCGAAACAAACGAAAAATGTATCTTATAGGTTCGAAAGCTGGAACAATCGTATTTTCCATTTAAAGCAGGTTACGCCAATTATACGATTAGTCAAAATTAATTTTAAGCAACTGATACATGTTAAAAGTTCATACATAGAAAAACTAGATAATGACGCTATTGTCGATCTGTTCTTATGTAGTGGCAAAAGTTTATTACTGGAAACAAGAGAAGAAATATCGGAAATCCACATCCTTGTTGATCGAAAAACTTTTAACGTTTTTGTTTTCATGAAGTCAAACATATATGAAATGTGTTGATGATAAAGTGCTTACGAAACATTATTCTCTCCCAAAAACAGCGTATTGTATACAACATATTTCAGTAAATCGTCATTGGCTTGTTTCCTTTTTCATGTGAATAGGTTAAACATTTGTCGATATTGATCTGTCATTCAAAGAACTTTGTCCATTTTAACCTGTCATACGTTTCTAAATTTGAATAATCTAACGTTAGAATTAGAGTCATCATTTAACGCAAGGAATCATTATGAAATAAACACATTCTTATCGTATTGAGACATGTATAATGTCACATCTAAAAAAGTAAACAAAGCCGCTACGTCATTTCTATTCACATCATTTGAATTCTTGATGGATAATAATCGAAGTAGTTCTATTCTCTTCAGCTTGCCTTCTTGACTTCTCGGTTCTATTTTGTTGTTTTGCTAATTTTTCTATTTAGATCAATCCTGTGATATGGCAAACTTGTTTATAATTAATTGATTGTGAGGAGTTAGTGTTCAGAGTCATTGTGTTTCTATTTCAGAAAACAGATAACACGCTTAATGTTAAAAGTTCATTAAAATTACAATAAATTGTAGAAGAATTCGTTCGTGTATTTATTAATGCTGAATGGATTCGTGTGACTATTGGTTCAATGACATTTAAATACGTTTCATCTGTGTTATGTTTTAAAGAATTTACCGTTGGTGATCAAGAGAAGTTTTCGTTTCGCTTCATGAAAATAAAAATGTTAAAAGTTTTACGATTAAATGGGACGAAGTGGACTTGTCCGTATGGAGATGTTTGAATTGAACGAGAATAGAAAAATGCCCATGATGTCGACGTTTTTCAATTATTCTGTTTATGATGCTCGAATGACTAAAATTGAACCGATATACAGACATTACTCTATTTTAATGTTCGCAACAGTATATGGTGTTAGCTATTTTCTACTTAGTTAGATAAGTGAGGTTTATACAATGTTCTAAGACGTAAGGGTATCTAAATTCGATGATTTGCTGAGCTTTTTTACGTTGCATAAAGCTATTTAAGTCGTGCACTCATTTGAAATCAAGTGAGATGATGAGATTACTTTTACTTACCATCTTAGAAAATAGTAACAAAGCACTCTACGATCCACTAAGGTATACTGCTAAAATTGCCTTTGGAGGGTGAAAGAATGTTTGTTCGAAAGAAAATTATAGTACGTTATCCAAATTCAAGATACTTTTTTATGTAAAAGCAATAAACTCCCATCAAAAAGATATACTAACGATTAACGTTTAGGAGCGCCAAGGAGAAAATAAAAAAATTGTAGTTGTACCGCTTATTTCAACTGAAAAAGACATCCTTGCCTAAAGCAACAAATTTGCTTCTTCCACATTTGTTACTTATTCAACAGAAAATCCTCTTAGTTCACTATTGAACACATCTTGATTTATATTGATTAAAAACTGGTATTGGACTGAGATAAAAAAATATGCTTATTTCGTGCACTTTTTCGTTTTTGAGCTACCCAAATTCGTTGGATGAAAGTTCTGAGTTGAAACAAAATAAAAGGAGATTTCATCTTCTATATTTAGTTTTTTCGGCGAAAATAAGCATATTTTTTTATCTCAGTCCACGTGTCAGAAGCTGATATTAAAAATAAGCCTTAAGGGGGGGTCCCCCCACCCGTTTTTTTCCAGCAGTTTGTGGAGGACACTTCGAAGTATACGTCTCAACAAAGCTTTCAGTTCCCGGACTTATAGTTTTTGATAAAAAAAATTTTTAATTTTTTTTCGGGTTT